ATGAGAACTTTTATCAAGAGGAAAGTATTTGGGTAGCACGTATCTGTATGGGCCAGAGTCGTTAAAACAAAGCCACCGCTAAGAAGCGCTACCAGTTCTGCACTTACTGTGGTTTGAATGAGACAAATGTAGAGTTTGTCTCATGAACTCTTGCTTGAAATAGTTTTATTATTTTCAACAAATTTCACTTTATCTTACCTTACTTTTCAGCAAAATGTCTGGAACTGATGATTTTTCGGTAAGTAACAGTTTTTCTTTCCTGAAGATCAGCCAGTTGTGTTACTTCATTCTAAAAGTTGACATACTTTTTCAAGAAGAAGGGGAGCTTGCAGTTGAGAGGCGATTTCCTCTATTGCAGTTGTGGTGTTTTCCTTTTGGGTAGATGTAGCAATCTGTGGACTAAACATATGAAGCTGCTAGGTGCCTCGTGGGTTCTTTTTTGCTGTGATATTAACACAGGAGTTGTGTTTTAAAAGTGTCAGAATAGCCCTAATGGGAATCTACGAAAATCTTTTCTTTCTGGATTTGCGCTGAAATTGCTTATTGCTATGTGTGGTAGGTCGCCTTCTATCTTTGGTTTTCTAACTGCAGCATTTCAGAATGCCTCTTCTACCTTAATGATAGAAGCCGCACAAAAATGAATGTAATCATCTGTGCGCAGCAGCAAAGAGCTCTCTTCCTCCCATTTTGGCAACTGAAACATGTACATGTAGAGGGTGAATGTCTGCAACTAGGAAGTCCAGTAGACATTTTACATTCTCACTGATGCTTTATCTTTTAGTTGGCAGATGCTTTACCAGATCAGTCGCCTGCTAAAACCTCCAAAGTGAGCAGTACAAAACCTGGTCAACAGCCTGGTCAGCCACCGCAGGGTTGGCCAGCTTCAAATCCTTGGAACAACCCAAGCGCTCCCCCTACGGCGCCAACCGGACTGCCACCAAGTACGTCCGCTTCCAGCGTGCCATTCGGACCTCCACCAACAGGAATGTATCCTTCCATGCCCCCTGGACCGCCTGCTCCATTTCCTCCTCCTCCTACTGGACCCGCTTGCCCTCCTCCTGGTGGTCCATATCCACCCCCAACTGTGCCAGGTCCTGTCCCACCAGGGCAATATCCTCCACCAAATATGCCCTTTCCAGAGCTTCCACGACCTTATGGTGGTCCAACAGAGCCAGCTGCGCCTCCTGCTCCTGTTGGGCCATGGGGATCCATGCCCTCTGGAGCATGGGGACCAACAATGGGAGGGCAGTATCCTGCACCTAGCATGCCATATCCACCCCCAGGGCCATATTCCGCTCCTACCCAGACTCCAGGGGCTGCGCCAACAGTACCATGGGGTACGGTCCCACCTGGAACATGGGGACCTTCACCGCCAGGTCCGTTTCCTCCACCCACAGGATCATATCCAGCTCCAGGACTATATCCTACGCCCCCTAATCCTTTTCAAGTGCCATCTGGTCCTGCTGGTGCTCCATCAATGCCTGGTGGTCCCCATGTGAGTATTTAATTTTGGTCTTGAATTACTCTAAAATGTTACACTTTTAAGTGCAGAAATTCGGTAGCGTAAGACCTGTTAGCGCAGGTAACGAATTTCAGCACGTCTGTCTCATTTCTGTAGTCAGTGGCATAATAGCCAACTTTTTAAATGCTTAACTAAATATACTAGAATAGTGACATTTTATCAAGTTGGAGTGTGTCTAAGCATCACATTATAGCAGTCTTCCACTTCTTGGAAAGCCTGCTCTAAAAGGCAAAAAAGGGGGGAAAGCCTCAATAATTATTTCTGAAAGAGAAAATATCCTAGTCTCTGTAACGTAGAGAGATTGCTTCTAGGGCACACAGGGAGGGAACAACAAGTTAGAAGGATGAATTTGTTTTTAGTTACGCATTTTTGTAACTGTGAATTAACTGCTTTGTGAAAAGCCTGTATTGACCGTGAATTATTATCTCTTGCAGCCTTACCGTTGAATACATTCTGGGCAACAAAACACTGTAGCTTTCCACCTTCATCCACTACTTACAGAGATTTTTACAGTTTTTGTTTCAGTAACGTTTGGGGCTATGAAGAATACTTGCCTCTTGTATGTGCATTTGAGGTATGAAGGAGCAGTTTGCATAAATTTACCTTGCTCATATGCTGGCATAATTGTTTGGTTTAATAAAATGAATTACGAAGAGCAGAAATAAAACTAACATCTGTGGTTCTTACATTGGCAAGTATTCCTTGGAAAAATGGGGAGTTGCCAAGTAAGGATTATAAAGAATCAGGCCCAAGGACTTGAAAAAATGTTAATTCTTAAATTTCCATGAATGCTTTAAGTCTTGTTGCCAGACTTGTGCTGGTCACTGAATGGACGGATAGTCATATTTTGTCTATTTTCAGGTTATTCTAAAATGTCAATAAAAAGCGTTTCAAGATTTTTGTCAAGAAATCTGATTTTTGAACATGCTACAGTAATTCAAACTAAAGAGACACAGAGCATGTGAACTTGAAGGTTTTCTCAGCATTTTGTATATACTCAAAACAATTGCTCAGTCTGGGACTACAGAAGAGAAGATACGCAGTTGAAATACTCGGTCTGACTTGTCAGCACACTGTTCGTGTTCACAAACAGGCGTTTATGTGCAAATTAAATAACCTGGATGTGCAGTTAACTTTGAATCAACAAATGTGAGTTTTATGCATGCAAATGAGGACATCATTTTGCCAGTTCTCATTCTGTGGTGGTTGGAAGTTTGGCTTGGTCTATGTAAAGAGAAGCTGATTCCCACTTAGGTAAGGTACTTCCCTATTTCTAACCTGGGTTCTAGTCATTTAAAATTTGACTTAGCTGCCGAGTCGTGTAAACTCGGCAGGCTTTTTCAGAGTCCCTAGAAACTGAACTTGAGCTTAAAAGATCAAAAAACCCGACCTGACAATTCCCTTCCCGGCGGTTTTTGGCATGGCATTTAGTTCTATCAGCTACAAAGATCCTTACTGCCGCAGTTGAGAACGAGGGGGTCTCATCAGGGCTCCGCTGAATGTTGTAATGGGGAGAAGTCCTCTGTTCTCAGCTGGGTGTCCGCATACCTCACTGAGTAAGTGTAACTTGGGAGTAACTGAATGTCTGGGAGCCTCTGCGCTGCCGCGTAGCTGTCCCCCCTCTGAGGGGGCACTGCAGTACGTTTTCATATTCTTGCCATATCTGCGCAAAGAGCGGGGGAGGGGTTTGCTGCGATGCTGGTTCAGCATTACCGAGACACGCAGCCACGCGTCGGTGAGGAGTTCTGGCACTCTTTGTGGTACTTCATAGCCTAGACTTTGACCATGGACGGTTTGTTTCATCCCCAGTTGGGGATGTCCTAACTTAGCCTCTGTAGGTAGAATTAGGAACAAATTTTGCTTAACGTAGTAGCTCATTAGGAAGTCTTTGTATCATGGAACTGTGAAAGCGAGTTAATTCTCTTCCAGTACCTTATCGTGGCTTCCTGCATGCATGTGATGGACTTCTTAAAAACAAATGGGGTGACCTGGTGGCGATGCTTGTTAGTAGTCTTAGCCTTTACGGCAAAGCCCTGCAATATTTTTGCAGAAGAAAGCGGTCAGCTTGGCTGTGGCTGTTTTAATCTAATGTCATGAAAGCTAATAGCAAAGGTATGTGTATTTTTTGTTTTAGGAAGACGATACTGGAGCTGAACAAAAATACTTCACGTTTCAGCTTAAAACCTAGCAGCTGTAACCCTAGAAATAGCGACCAAAAGTGCAAGTCTTCACGAACCTTAAACAAGCCCCACGTGCCCCCCCAACCAGACTTGGCTTAGATCTTGGCAAGACTAATTAAAAATCAACATAAGAGAACATTGACTGCATTTGCTCAAGTGCTTTTTTGATACCTGCAGCCTTAGAACATAAACCAATGTAATGAAAAAACATTTATTCCAAATGAACGGATCATGCAGTAGCAGTACTCCCATTGGAAATTGCACTGGCCATGTGTTTTTGCAGGGAATGGAAAGAGGTAGGAAAGGATAAAGCAAACGTAGCAAGTAATGATTTTTGGAAAGGGGATTTGTAAAAGTAACTAGACTTCTAGGTTCTTCCTGAAATAGGCAGGATTTATTACTGGAATATTTAGGCTAAAATTCAGTATATATGGGATGTTTTTCAATGTATATTCGTATTTCTTGAGGTCATGAAAACTGTTTCATAACCCCTTTGTTTTTGTGAGCAAAGTTCTTTGCATAGCAGTGAAAAGGGTATACCTGTTAATCTATTGTGTAAAAACTCAAGTTGTCACTATATACCGTGTAGTAACTTTATCACATGTTATGTCAAGTGTGAGCAACTTCTGGCCTGAAGCTTTTGCAATGGAATTTGTACATTTCTATGCATCATTTGAGTTAAATTGCTGAGAAGTTCGTTTTGACTTGTGCTTTGAGATCGACATACTGCATCTGTTTACAATATGAAATATAAGCAATCACATCTTTAAAGTATAGATTATCACCTGCTGCTGTATTTTCTTTAGATGAAACAAATATTGCTGTATGATAGTGAGAAGCTATAAATACAGGATTTGATATTTTTTTGAAAATGCTGTCACTTTTGTATAAGATTAGACATTAAACGTATTTTCAAGACTGTCGTGTTCACTGTTTTTCAATTACTGCTTTTGACATGCTTGTGTAGACTTTTGCCTTGAATGAATAGTAAAAATAGGACATCCTTGATTTGCAAAGACTGAATATAAAATCAGAATTACTTGACTTCTGTGAGTGTTTTTCCTCTTCCTTTTGTGATTTTTGCAGCCTGTGCATAAGGCGTATCAAGTGCGGATGCGACCATTGCTGTATTGTAGCCTCAGGTATTGCCTGTTCACAAACTGCCCTGTTAATTAAGAGAAAAAAGATCTGATCTTTCTTCTTCTAGTGGAGGAATGGAACTTATTTTTTTTTGCCTGTGAAGAGCGTGGTGTGGATTTTTTTCCTGGCTCTGAATAATTCCTATGCCAGATTGGCACATGCGGATGCGGTAAGTGACCTGCAAACCAGTGTTTTTATATGCTTATCAGGAGTTTGATGGGATAGGGTGGATAACACTAAGAAACTCCAGGGCTTGGCAGCAGCGTGAACTACAAAGTTTGGGCATTGCTCATCGCTACATTTACATTGTGGCTTGCAGAACGGTTCGCACTGAGCTGGCCAATGCTGCTGCCTTTGTCCACACCTTCACCCTTTCAGGGAGGTAAAAACAGCGGCAATGACCTGTAAAGAGTGGAAACAAAAATATTCATCCCCTTTAAGGCTTAGAAAACAAGCTCTTCTTAGACTGTGCACTGAATGTAAGCCTTACATCTGTTAGTAGAACAATACGACGTGTGGCCGGTGCTTTATCTTAACAGCGGTCGGCTATGGGATTGTCCGCTCCTCCCGATTCCTCAAATGGAATTGTCTTTTGCATTGGCAAAGATGAAGAGACGGGTATGCCGATCCAATTACATTAATGGCTTACTGCCCTGCAGACCCGAAAAACTTTTAATTGAATGTTTGGGGAGCATCTGACAAGTGATACTTACCTACATAATTCTTAGGGGAGTAGTTAGTTTTGAAAAACTCTTCCAGGGGTCTTGCAAAGGGGTGAGTGTGCGCATGGCGAGATCCACGCCGTAGGATGTGTTGGCTCTGGTCTACTGTCGTGAAGGCAGACGCCTAAACTCTCCCCAGGCAAGTTCAGGCCCGTTTGTGCGCGCGGGCTTTGATTCACTGACCAGCCTGTTTAAAACTGCCTCCAGGCTGTCCAACGGGCGGGACGTTGATCCAAGGTTGTCTGTGTAGCGAGAGCCCTTAGGACAAAACTTTTCATACGTGTTTTTTCTTAATAGTGGCTTTCCCATTTCTGAAGTTAAGCAGAAAATTCCGATTGCTAGAATGCAGTTCCATACACTTCCAACAGCCATTATTCACCAGGCACATAAGAGATTAGTATGTTAAGTGTCATCTGGCAAATCAAGAAATTCAAGTTTCGACTTTAAGCTTCTAATCAACGAGTACCTGCTGCAAGGTGAAGTGTTGCTGCGTTACCCAATGTGATGTGCCTGCCTCGGAGACGTCTGGAGAAGGATCGCGAGCGGACTGGGATTGGGACGTGCTCTGTGGGTGGATACAGGCGTCCGTGGCCTGGGGAGTGGGGAGCTCTGCGCTGGCTGCCTGGGCTCCAGCCGCGAGTCGCCGGTACCTGGGTGTCCGTGCTGCTTGTGCGCGGGCAGGGCTGGCAGCACCGCAGGTTGTGGGGTGATGAGGGGGATAACGTCCGGATAGACGTGATGTCTGCGTGCTTCACTTCGCCCTGGGTCCGATTTTCCCAAATACGTTTTTGAGGTGTAGTTGTAGCGGGAGGATTATAATTCTTCCTTTGCCCTCACAATTCAGCAGAATTTGAGTTAACCCATTGAGCTGATAACAGCAAGGTAAAACTATCTTTTTTTTTTTGGTCGCTCTTGCCTGCAGCATCTCTCGGGTATGTGGGAAATCCAACGTTACATCTGCGTGCGCCGAGGCAGTGTGCTGTTGAAAGCAGATACTTCTGTGTCAGAGATCCGCCCGTTGTTCAAGTTGACTCATTTCATGACGGCGAAGGCAGAAGACTGGGGACTTTGTATCCTCTGTGCAGCAGATCATAAGTTATAGTAAAGTTAAGTTACAAGTTACACCTAGATAAGGGATAGTCAATGCACTAGTACAAACATTTCAGTTCTGTATCACTCTCCAAAGGGCACCCTCCCTGTTAAATGAGGGGTTGAGGTAAAACAGCGATACCCGTGTTTCTGTCCCTGCTCTCATGACGTTCAGCACGCCTTCGGCTTTCGTTTCAGTCCTGAGTCTGTTGTCTGCACAAGGTCTTACCTGTTCTTGCCGACTCATGTTCTTGTGGTGATTACAGGAGGGAATTCTTGCAGCGTTTAACCCTTAAACTCTTGCATCAAGCTGTACCATCAACCGCCAAATTTGTTTCTCTTGGCAGTAATGATGGCTTCAGTATGCTCTCCCTACCTCCTCCTCCTCTGCCACCACTCCAGTTCAACCAGTTACTTCTCTGATACAATCCCATGTGCGTAGAATCGCAGAATGGTTTGGGTTGGAAGTGACCTCTAAAGGCCATCTGGTCCAACCCCCTGCCACGAGCAGGGACATCTTCAACCAGAGCAGGTTGCTCAGAGCCCCATCCAGCCTGGCCTTGAATGGTTCCAGGGATGGGGCATCCACCACCTCTCTAGGCAACGCCTTGCAGTGTTTCACCACCCTCATCGTGAAAAACTTTTTCCTTGTGTCAGTCTAAATCTCCCCTCCTTTAGTTTAAAACCTTTACCCCTTGTCCTGTCGCAGCAGGCCTTGCTAAAAAGTCTGTCCCCATCTTTCTTGTAGGCGCCCTTTGGGTATTGAAAGGCCTCAATCATCAGGTCTCCCTGCAGCCTTCTCTTCTCTGGGCTGAACCCCCCAGCTCTCTCAGCCGCTCCTCACAGCAGCGGTGAACGGGACCGCGGCCTTGGTGAGGAGACGCTTGTGTCAGGCTGTTTGTCAGCGGGAGGAAGCTCGTCCAGCCGAGGAGCTGGAGCACGTGTACGCGTTTCGTTTCACGCCCTGCAGAGGAACTCGTTCCTCTTGAGCTAGAGAGAGATCCCAGGGAGGATGAGATCTTTAAATTATTAAAGGTTGGATCCTGGGGGGAGGTTGGGTAGAAGTTGGGTGCCCTGCTGTGCCTTGTGCTGTTACGAGCTGTTGCTGAGAGACATTTAGGCTGGAGCTGGCATCCTCGGTGTGAAATGGGAGGAATTATTTATAGTTTAGGTTTAAAGAGGAAAACTTCCTGCGGGTGGTGGAGACCATATTCTAAAGCAAACACCAGCTCGTATTGCTGCAAAACTGGATGATGGCGTGAGTTTAAGCAAGAGAGTCAGACCAGCGATATGGAGAAACTTTTCCAGCATGAGGACAGTCAGGCATTGGAGCAGGTTGCCCAAATTGATGCAGTCTCCATCCTTGGAGGGTTCAAAGGCCGGCCTGGATGAAGCCCTGAGCGGCCTGGGCTGAGCTCAGAGCTGGCCCTGGGCTGAGCAGGGATTAGGAACCTCCCGATGTCCCTTCCCACCAGAATCACCCCATGACTCGAAAGAAATTTGCTGCTCCGTGTCTGATTAAAAGCAAACATGGAATTTATCCCTTCTTTAAACAAATTCAGAAGGTGACGAACGACTACAGATTTCATTTGCGACTTCTTGGGCTTCCTCTGGCTAATGAATGCAGCGTTGTTCTGGGGTAGACCTATGGCTTCTGGTGGGAACCCAGTACGTGCTAACGAGGGGTGATCTGTCGGCGTACGCCGTTTTACGAAGCTGTTAAGGGATAATGAAAAGTAAAACTGTATTACGGTGCCTTTTCACAAGAACGTGCTTAATTTGCATGATGTGAAAAGCTTTATATAGTGCTTTATATGATAGAAATTGTTCAAAGGGGTTTTGAAGCCTGTGCTTTCTAATTTGCCTGTATTCCCTTCAGTTACAGGGCAACACCCTCCAGCACAGAGAAGGTGGCAGAATATCCTATTTTAAGTTTGCTTAGAAGTGGGAAGAATTAATGCTTTAATATCCTGGTGCTTGTTCTCGCTGCGTGTTGGGCTGTGTGAAGTTCGTTGGCGCTCCTCAAGGAGACAACATCGGAGTTGATCATCTTGAAAACTTTTTAATACGGGCACTTCGAAGTCTTAGCAGCTTCTGCTTCACGCTTTCGTGTTTGCATTTCAACCTTGATGCTGTCCCCGTTTTCCCGCTCAGAAAGCCGAGCGTGTGCAACGCCGCATAGCCTGGAATACGGGGATGATGACGTGGAATCACAGAACCGTTTAGGTTGGAAAAGACCTTGAAGATCATCGAGTCCAACCGTTAACCCAGCACTGCCAAGCCCACCACTAACCCATGTCCCTAAGCACCACATCTCCCCGGCTTTTAAATCCCTCCAGGGATGGGGACTCAGCCCCTGCCCTGGGCAGCCTGTGCCGGGGCTTCTATGATTCTGTGACCTGGAAAACTCAAAGGAAAAAGTGGAAGGGAAAAGCCAGGCCATTCATTACATTAGTAAATATTTACAAGGAAACCCACAAGAAATATAATTTAAAGGATCAATCTGATAAGAATCAGATATTCCTCTGTTACAAATGTCTTGATTCATCCTACGCTCATCGTGCGATAAGAGGAGTAACAGCGTGCGCCCCAGCAGGGACACAGCGATCACGGCTTGCATTAAGTTATACGAATTGGCTTGATAACATCTTCCGGAGTTAAATTTACTTTGTGCAGTAACTGATTCTGTAGGGAAGGTTAACAGCACGGTAACAGGCAGGTTCTCTCAGTCAGATAAACCTGAAGGCCAGCTTACCGTACCGTACAGCGGTGGATCCGAGCTGCCGCTGCCCGCCTCGGCTGGATGCTCGCCTGCTGCTCTGTACCGGCTGTCAGGGGAAGTAGCTGCTAAAAAGAGAGCTGCTGTGGAGTGACACCGAGCAAAAACCGCTCTCAGGCGTTCAGATTAAAATCAGATGCTGGAAAAATGAGCCCACGGCTGTTGTGTAAAAGCAAAGCCCTCTGGTTTTTGGCGCTGGGAGCTGCGTATCCAGCGTCCCGCTGCCATCAGAGGGCAGCGGTGCTGCTCCCAGCCCTCCTGGCCGCCCTCCCCTTGGCAAACCCTCCCGGCCAGGGAAGGCCGGCTCTGCTATTGCTTATTTTTAGCATTGAACTTGATAAAACCAGGGGAAAACCAGCGACATTGAATGACTTACAGTGCTGTTTGGGAGATGGCGTTAGAAGTTGCATCGTTGCGCAGACTGGTATTGGTTTGTCTTGTGCAGGGCGAAGGACAAGCGCGCCGTGTGCGAGGGGTCCGTCGGAGCCCTCTTTAGTGCAAGGTTTCACAGGAGAACCAATTCCCCCGCTCTGCAAAAATCTGGTATGTAAAGCAGTGCAGCAAAGAAGGAAAGCCTGCTAACCTGCCCGGGACTCACAAAGCTCCTCCCTTTCCCATCTCTTGTCTCCTGAGCTACGGTAAAAGCCACAAATTGCCACTGTAATGAAGGTCCGAATTCATCAGGGTGGTTGGTATTGCAGCTGCCTTTCTGCTGGATCTGGCTGAGCTGTCCTGCCTTTCCTTGGCATTCCCGGCTCCTTTCCCACCCCGTACGTTCAGTGCGGTATCACA